CCCCCCGTTGAATGAAGGAATGGGCGTGCCGCTAGCCCGCCACCGGCCTAGTGCCGTCCTTGGTCCTTCCGTGACAATTCAATTACCCGCTTCCAGCCCGTGGGAAGGGACTCATCAGGCAGCGGATGGCAGCCTGGGAACTCTTGAGCAATCTCCAGGCAGGCCTGTTGACCGGGGAGATGGATCTTATCGATTTATTAGTTCAGCTAGCAACGGCTTACCCTGGCGCCGGGAACTGACTCAGGCCATATCCGATGCGCATTACCTCCACCGCCGACATGGTAGGCTCATGGCATGCCTCACTCCTAATTACATGTTTCTGCCAGCACGGAAGGCGGCAGACCTCTCGGACGGGATTTGTCATACTCAGACATGCAAGGTATGCTGCGCTCGGTATTCGGGATGGGGACTCACTCACCTGCGCCCACCACCACACTCAGACTTTTTGGTAGCACTGGCCGGCGAATGAGCAAGGTCCCGGGCAATTGCATCATGCATGCAGATAGATGCCCATTCGAATGTTCCGTGGATGCACAGCGATAGGCTGGGATGAGATGCTGACGCGCTTCGTCGTCGAATAGTTCGGCCGACGCTGACATGCATGCTTCCCTGGCTGTTACCTCGACTCTGTGTCGCAAGTTCGCAACTATCCATCCGTCTGATGCCCATTGCTACTTGGCAGTACCGAGTAATCAATCATAGAGCGCCTACATTTCTCCCGGATTTTTTTGCCCCTTCCCCACCAACTCTCTTTCCTTTTCATCAAGATCATCTGGGTTGAAAATTCTATCTGGCCTGTCTCACTCGTCATGGGCAAATCCCAAGGCGTTATTGCGCTGGTCCCAGCCAAGTCGAGTAATTTGCTGGCCCTGCTGAACACCCAGGTTCATGCCCCAACAGGAGATTGTCCCGAAGAAAGGCGATTTGAATCACACAAGGGTCACCCTTCCCAGGAATCAGTCTCAGGTATTGAGACATGATTGAGATACTGGGCCCTCGGCCAGGGGCTTTTTCGTCCAGACCGGCTCTCGGGAACTATGCATCGCACATCACGGCATGGAGCGGGCGGAAACATACATGGACGGCAGTTAAATCATGTCCGATACGAGACACAATGTGGGCATGGGCACTTATTCATCTAGGGTCCTAGATGGATGGTATCCGGTTCGTCCCACATACCTGGCTTCCAGCACTAGGAAGCGAGACTGGCGAGAGCCTCGGGAAGGCCCAACGTAGAGTGAAATCTTTTGTATTATTCGTGACAATCAGGTAAACCTATTCATGCCGTGGTCGTATGTGCGACATCGCCTGTGCGTTGGATCCTAGAAATATGACACCTTTAAAACTCCATTTATGGCCTTTCCTCTATGGTATCTCTAGAGAGTGGTAGCTTGCCTCCCATGATTCTTTATACCCTAATGCCCCCAATGTATAATTGCCAAAAAAGAAACATCTTAATCTAATAAGCTGACGACGGTAGGCGCTGGTTTCTTAGGTATTAACGCAGGGCCCTTTCGACTCGCCGTTACATCAGTGACTGAAAGCACCTTTTTCGCCTGTGCTTCATCTACACTGTACAGCTGTCTGTAGAACTGGCAAACTCGAGGGTGAGCCATGACTTTGGCCTTGTTGAAATTGAGCACTTGGAGCCCTGCCTGGCTGGTTGCTCGACTCAACGCAACATAAGCCTGGCCTCTCTCAAATATCTTGCCCAGGTTAACTGTCACTCTCTCCAATGTCTGGCCCTGAGCCTTGTGGATGGAGAGCGCCCAGGCCAGGATTAAGGGGAGCTGGTTCCGCTTCGCCTGTACCTCGCCGTTGGGAAGCTCTACCTTCCATTCTTCTGGTTGGCACAGAATAATTCGGCTTGTACCGTCAGTAGCGGTAAACTGAACCACTGGGAACTTTTGTCCAGAAACAGAGTCGGCATCCGCATCCCGGCTGTACCCTTTCAGCTTCTTTCTAGCTTTGTCCATTGCATCGCTCATTTCGTCATCGTAGCTCTCAGCGCTGGTCATATCGAAGGTTCTCTCGTCTGAGAATGCAATGACCTTGCCAAGCGATCCATTCACCAGATTCTCGTCTAAGTTTTTGATAAGCATTACTTGGGCATTGACCTTCAGATCGATACTCTTAGGCGCCATCATATTCGCCAAGAGTTTGTCACGAATCGCTGGCTCCCCTGAATCATATGCAGGGTACCTTTGAACGACACCAGGAAGGCTTTGAAGACGAGAGGCATTCGAGTTCTCGACCTGGGCCCGGGTCGGGTAAAGTTCTGCCATGTCAACACCATCGTTGAATTTTAGAGGCCGCGCCAGCGCCTTGAACGCCCTTTCTGATGCTGGGCTGATTTCTCCAAGGCGCATTTCGTTGAGCATCTTTGCGAACACCGGATCCCGCTGACGGAAAACTTCGGTGAGGCCAATAGTATGATCGATTGTTGTATTCCACGTCGATGACTCGAATGCGAACTTGACCTCCCGCTTCGTGTCACCATCAGGGACTGGCGGAAGTTGGAAAAAGTCGCCCGTTATGATGAGCTGGATGCCTCCCCAGGGGCGCCCGTTGTTTCGGATGACACGTCCAATCTGCGAGAGTTTGTCAAACAGCTCTGCATCCACCATGGATATTTCGTCGATGATCAAGCATTTGGCTTTAAGCCAGCGGTTCTTGGCCTTTGGATTCCGCCTGATCTTCTTTGTCAATGTAGCAGCATCCTCTTTTCCAAGCCCAATACCTATACGAGCATTTGTCAGTAAATTGAACACGCCAAGTCGGGTTGCTTCTGGTTGGATCGCTTACCTGAAAAGCTGTGGAGTGTGATACCACCAATGTTACAGGCAGCAAGTCCAGTGGGTGCTGTCACAGCAACACGCTCTGGGTCCCTGGCATATTTTGCCTTCAACTCCTTGATGATTGCTCGCATTAACACTGACTTTCCTGTTCCGGCTGGTCCTGTGAAGAAGATGCTTTTGCCCTTGTTTACCACTAATTCCAAGATGCGTTCTTGCTCTTTTGAGAGAGCAAACGCATCATTCTTGGGCCTGGAAATCTCGGCAGCTATCTGGGCGGCATCCGGAGGCAGTTCATCCTTAGTGTCTGTTTTGGAAGTTTGGTGTTGATTCTTTAATAATCGCTTTTTCTCTTTAGTAGCACTTGCCGAAGGATCCCAGAAGCCCTTGGAGCTTTGGTGAGCTGGTGTTTTGGCCACATTCGGGGTAGTGTCCCAGTTGGCTCCGTCATCCTCATCTTCCTCTTTCCACGGGAGTCGACTGCGCTTTTTGGCTTTCTTGATCGGAGGCAGATCATCATCCTCTCCTAACGACTCACGTTTCAGGGACCAGCCTGTGGAGGTCGATATACTCGATTGTGCGCGCGCTAAACTGGGCTTCTCCCAATGTGAGGGCGGTGAGGAGGACCATGACATGTATTGTGATGAAGGAGGAATGTTCTCTTTGGGTTTGGACACTTCCGGTTTGCCGGGGAGAGCTAATGGGGCTTCGAAATCGAGATCGAGATTATCATCATCGCTGAAATCGTTTTCATCGAACCATACTATATCACTGACTGAGTTTTGGGTGCCATTTCCACTGGCGAAAGCATGGCTCGACTCGTCTTTGAAGGAATTCGAGCTGGAATGTCCATATAGCGACATTAGGGAACCCCGCCCGGTCACTTGCTTTGATGTAGACTGGGTCGAGGTTTCTGCTTGGAGACTCTGGTCCGTCCTCGCCGGCCCGGAAGAGAAGCCCGAGAACCCTGGCTTTTTGAACTGCATCCTGATATCACTGCCGCTACTTGAACCCGGGGTTTGGTTTGTTGAAGGGATGCCAGCTTGGTTTAAATGCTTGGCGAGAGGGTTTCGGGGGGGAGGCGGGTTCGCCACATAGGCTTTGTTGGCTTTGCCTAACATTGTGTCGGATTCGGCAATCGTGTGTTGCAGGTGGGCGGGTGGTGTATTGGCATGAAGCAGCTGCGAAGACTTCCGGGCAAGACAGCGACTGGTCGGCGAGGATCGGAATACCAGAGCTGGAAACTTTGGTATCATAAAAGAGGAAAGAAGCGGACGATTCGTAGCAGCAGGAAAGAGTCGGGGGGGATCTCACATGCCAACTAGGACAGGCTGGACGTTAAGAGACGTGAACCTCGTCTCCCAGCCGCGGGGAAGACAGGATGGTGTATCGCTAACGAGACGACCCGAGTGTTCTAGCTTGGAACCGATCCCATGCGGCCTTTATCGACGGTATAGATCCAAGACGAGTAGATGGATGAGCAACTCTTTGTGATCAGAAACAAGGAGCCTTCAATTGATCACTGCTGATCCACAATAGGTTGTCAGTCGCGACTTGTGGGCGACTCATTAACGAGCCAGCCGTGACTACCCCCCTAACCTAGAGCGGAGGAAGAAGAAAATAAATGGGAAACAAGGTTGTGACGCGCCGCTCCACAAAGGCAAGCGCGTCTATCTCGCGGTCACGTGAGCCAATTAACTTACATCACATCGCTCCTACCACATGCATCTTACCTGGACGGACACATTGGCTTTGTTCTCATTGCATTCTTCTTGAGCCTGGTAACTACTCGCAGAAAGGATACTACGGCACGGTCTAAAAGCAATGGCCTCCTCTTTTAGTGTGCTGACACTTTTACCACCGGATTGTCTGACCACTAATATATCTCCAGACTATCTCCCAAAGCAGCGACTCTAGGTTGACTTTTGAGTCGAAACGCATCGCCATGGGAGCAGCATGTCTTTAGAGAGACAGGATTATTGGCGATGAGCATCACCGATTCTTAGTAGCTGGCTCATAAAGTCGTGCTTGATTGAATATTAATGCTAAGCTAAGCTAAGTCAAGGAAAAAGAAGCCAATCTTCAAGTGTCTGTCTGTTTTCCACCAAATACTGTGAATACACGCCGAACTAACTGGAGCAAGCTAACTCATCAGAACAATACTAATTATGTTGTTGAACACGACCAGGTAATTTGCGAAGATCCTCAATCCCTTCCCCTAGTTGCATAAGTTGGTCGCCTTCCTACCGGCCTCTCGGGGGAGGGGGAATAATCCCGAGAACTCATATGCCTGGATCTCGGTTCCCTCCTCTCATAACGCCCCTCGTCACGGTCTCTCGGCTCATGGAGAACCCCCTCAGTAAATCGTCGTATTTTTTCAACAAAGTTGTCTTTCTCGTACGGGCGTCCTGCCCGATCTTTCCCACGATCTTCTCCCAGAGGAGATCGATTGTGGCCACTTCTACGCCAAGGCTGATCTCCATCGAGAATCTCGCGGCCAACCTCATCTGGAGTCATCCGGCGCACGCTCTGGATAATTCGCGGCGCATAATCCTCATATCTCGAGTGTTTCTTGATATCATCCCGCCCTCGGCGAGGGGAAGGTGAAATATGCCGCACGTATTCTGGCCCCTTTCTATGAGACGGCCGTGGAGAACGTGCACTCTCGTATGTATAGCGAGACTCATCCTCGTAATACCTTCGAGGAGATGGCGATGGGGCCCTACGGGCGTATCTCTGGTCCTCGGTGTAAGCTCTGCGAGGAGAGGGGGGTGAGGCCTCACGAGCAAACCCATGTTCATCAATGAAAGTTTTCCCGGGCTTCACATGATGCCGAGTGGGAATGCCAAAGTGCTCTTTTGAATAACGTCTCGAGCTCTTCTTCACCTTATGATGCGATCCGCCCGAGGTGGACGTTGCTGGGGTGGAGACGTCACTCGCACTGTCTGACCAAGCACCATCGTAATCGGAAACAGATTCCTCAGAGATGCGAGGCGAACCGGGATGGGTATGATGCTTGCCTGAGGAGGCTTTCCCCTTTCTATCCCCTTGGTGCTTGCCGTCCTTGTTTGAGGAGACTGGGTGTGGTATATGAAGAGGTGGAACGTGAGGGGGCGGCGGAAGAGGCCCCTTATCTTTACCCATTGCCCTCTGTGCTTGTTGATCTTTCATTTGCGCCGCAACTTGTGCTGGGATAGCTTGAGCCCTTTGCTGCGGGTTCTGGGGACCACCAGGATGACCTCCCTGCCCTTGAGGCAGATGTCCATGCTGATGCAGTATGGCAGGCTGAGCTTGTTGGACTTTGGCAGCCTGATTATGCTGCGGCTGTTGCGCCATTCCAGGGTGAGCCTGTTGCTTTTGCGGATTTAAACTAGGCTGCTGCTGCTGCTGCTGCTGGGGTTGAGCGATGATAGGCTGGCCCTGTGGCTTCTGCTGCGCTGCGGGCTGTTGTGGCTGCTGTTGTGGTGCCATACCAGGCTGAGCTGGCTGCCTCTGCTGTGGCATTTGAGGCTGAGGCTGAGGCTGCTGTCTTTGCTGATTGATAACAGGCTGCTGTTGTGGCATCATGCCAGCGTGACCCTGAGGGGCCGTAGGAGCCTGTCTCTGTTGGTTGGCAGGGGCAAGGCCTTGATGGTCTTGGTGATTGAAACCTTGAGGACTTATGTGATTTTGGTCCTGCTGCTGCGGCCTCTGTTGTCCCATGCCAGCCTGCGGCTGCTGATTCATGTTTTGCTGCTGCTGCTGCTGCGGCCTTTGTTGACCCATGCCAGCCTGCGGCTGCTGATGCATGTTCTGCTGCTGCTGCTGCTGCTGCGGCCTTTGTTGACCCATGCCAGCCTGCGGCTGCTGATGCATGTTCTGCTGCTGCTGCTGCTGCTGCTGCTGCGGCCTTTGTTGACCCATGACAGCCTGCGGCTGCTGATGCATGTTATGCTGCTGCTGCTGCTGCTGTTGCTGTGGCCTTTGTTGACCCATGCCAGAACCTTGTTGCTGGCCCATATTGGGTTGCTGGTGAGCTTGGTTCTGAGGGTGCTGTTGATGCATATCATATTGCTGCTGCTGATGATTCACAGCAGGTCTTTCATGCTGACCCATGCCAGCCTGGCTCTGATACCTTGCATCATAATCATGATGATCTCTGGTGGGATAGCGTTCTTGACCGGCACCACCACGTGAGGAGTATTGCGACGGAGAGTGCATATCGTCGTAGTCTGAGAAGTGACGCGAATCTCGACCGCCCTCCGAAGAGCGCCGATCGCGTTGATGGTACTCAGCAGGCCGCCGATACCGCCGTATCTCATCATCTTCCCGCGACGCCTCACTTTCTCTGAAGGATTGCGGGTACTCCTCAGGGAGCAGAGTCCGCTTAAAATAAGCGGTGATAGAGACGAGTGCAATCATGTGCTTAGGTTTTGAGCTGTTGCTCCGTCCTCTATCTTTGTCGCTCTTGGGCTTTTTGTGACCCTTCGAGGTAGTCTTTGACTTCTGTCTCTTGCGGTCCTTGCTCCTGTTGCGCTTCTTATCGCTTCTGCTCCAGTCTTCGTGGAGTTCTTCACGCGAGTCTCGCAGTGAACGATCCACCTTCTGAAAATTGGTTTCGAACTGGACAAGCTCGTGAGAGAAGGAATAAGGATCTTCCTCCTTCTCCTCCAGGTATCTACGGGCGTACTCCAGCTTCTCCTGCATGAGCGACGACAGTTCCTCCTTGAACTTGTCCAGAACTGGAAGTGTGTGCTGCTCCAACTGCTCAACTTTGCGCAAAGCAGCGTCATTTGTGACGTGGAGCTCAAAAATCTTGGCCTGCTCCCAGGGGCGCTGGACTGGAGAGCCATCCTCGTCATGTCTGCACATTTCTATCTGGACAACACGGATGGTAGAGAGGTCATCCAGGACTGTGAGTGCATGACGGCTCCCCTGAGCATCATGGTACTGGGGCCGCAGCTCAGACCGCCGAGGTGAGGCTGTGCGAGGATGATATCTCGGGTTCCGCTCACGACGAACTGCCAATGACATGTCGTCTTCATGGCCCCTGGACCATTGAGAGGGACTATAGGTTTTCCTGGGGATGGGCATGTGAAGAGAATCAAGGTCAACCCTGCTATGAGGCCTGCTTTGCGGTCCTTGACCAACGGGAGGAGGCGGGAATGCAGGCCCGCGGCCGCCTTCACGAGGAGACCCTGACCCGCTGGCCTGAATGAAGCCTTGTGCCCCATTCATGATGGATGGATGGATTGATGAATGAGTGAATGAGGGAACAGAGGAAAGAGTGAGGGAAAAGAGGAAAGAATGATACTATGATTGACAAAAGCCAACACAGGTAGGTAAACAATTTCCAATTCTGATCAATGAGTGACCTCCTTGCTCAAGGCGGACACAAGAAAGTTGACCGAAAGAGCTCTCCCATGACCATCAGAGAGCTTCGCCTCGTTCTTATACATTATGCCTGACTATCTATCCTCCCAGCAACGTCAAGGGTCCCCAAAGTGAGGCGGACAATGTTGTGCCCAGCACGCGAAGATGCCTCGCCAATCGAGCTAATGGTGAAGTCATCGCTCGGCCAGATCAGCTTGCCACGATACTGGATGGCACACCATATGCAAGCGGCCGAGTGAGTTCTCGCAGACGACTCGCCCGGATACGGTGGATACCCTGTGTATGCTTCGTCGATGTTATGCAGCAGACTTCAAGAGCCTCACTGTGGATATGCAAAACTGGCTTACGTGGGTCGGGCAACAATGAATATCCCACCCGATGAGTTGGGCCACGACGCGGCAGAGGACGTGTGACTTCTACAGTACGCGCACGCAGATGCTCAATGCTCTCCGTGCCGTGTCGTAGCTTGTAGCTGGTTCGCACACAAGCCGGGCTGAGCTGACGCGCATTGCAAGGCGGCCAGACGAGGCGGGCTCCTTTCTCAATGTGTAACGCAGCTGCAATGCAACCACACCACACACCCACACCCACCACATGGTCAAAGAGAAATATCGAGGATCAGATCGGCAAGAAATGTTATCGAGCGAGTGATGGATGGTCACAAGCAAGAGGCTGCATAGGGTGGGACATCCATATGCTTCTCGACAAAATGGATCTAGAATCCCGATAGCAGTCGCCTGCAATCGAGAGACATCCACATGATCCAAGCCAAGCTGCACGAGACGGAGCTATTACACACGATTGATACTATTTGACCCAACCGGAGCGGGCTTGTTTGCTCCTGAAGGTCTCCAGGGTCGAGACCTGAGAAAGACTGAAACTATCTCATGTATCAGAAAACTGATATATCGCCCCTCCTTCAAAACCAGGCAATATTGGACGACAAGTCACATTTTCTCACCAAGCTCCGAATCCGCGATTGCACATTGCCCAGATTACGTGCGTGTCCCGTGGTAAGCAGCCTATGCAATCCTACCACCCGCAACCCTCAGCCAGCCACACCGCCCTCCAATTCTGGTGTCCTAAATCGCCATTAACCTCGCCCATGCAGCAGCGCGCGGCACAGGCCTGAGGCTGATCATCCCGCGGTGAATCACACACAACGAGGGCGTCACCACGGATACGTATTGCCTCTAACTCCGTTGGCACCGGGACAGCCTCTGCCCAACTCCGACGACCATCGTGTGCGCCGGCTCGGTTCCTAGTCGCTGCCCGTAACACAGCAAGGCTAATACACAATTGTGTCGAGCGGGTGTGACCTATCACAGACCGGTCACCCAGCAGGCTGACGCACGTTCCCAGAGCCTACAGCCCGTTTCGCAAAGTCGCCCATCATGCCCTCGTCATAGGAAATGATATAAAAAAAAAACTAGGGAGACGAGACAACGAAAGTCCCTATGGCGAAAGTTTCCAAGCCGTCTAGACCTTCGTGGGCACGCTGCATGCTTTGCTGCCTGATATTACAGTAGAACGGCCGGGCCGGGTGGATGATCTGGCCAATTCTTAGAGGTCGACGAGATACCGAGCCGTGTTTCTTTTTCCTTCTCATTTTTCTCTTCCCCGCCTCTTATCTTGTTCTGGACTGATGGCTTGCTTATGGGCGCGCCGCGATGGTTGCCCACCTTGCTCGTATTTCACCGTTTAGGCGAAGGATAAGGATCAAGGCATGAAACAACTGAGGGAAAGTGCAGCTTGCGTGGCGAAGCCTTGCGTCCATGAATAATGAGACAGGGCTGATGGATGCAACCCTCATGTGAAGGTGAGCAGGAAAGAAAAAAGTGAGGCGGAGGAGGAGATGGCCAGCTCCTCCCCGGATATTTTCCCCGGACACTCGCCCGGTGTGGGATGAGGTCTGGGATGGACAGTGATAAGTAGTAAGGTAAGTATGATTAAGGTAAAGTAAGGCATGTCTTCGTAAGATCGGTACCAAGTATCTCCCCCCCCTAGAAACCAACCCCCCTGCTCGCCAATCGTTTCTGCATCAGTTTCCCTGTATCATGAAACTCCAGCTCATGCTCCGATACACCTTTTCGTCACCATGCTTCTGTGTAGTGTGTAGTTGGAAGAATAGACACAAACGTGTTTTTCTGTATCCTGCCTCTTTTTGCGCCATGTCCGCCTCTTGTGCAAAAAAAAACTCGACCAAATCACAACACCCCGTCCCCGCCTCACGCTGGGATTGTGTTGCCGAGCCGTGTTATGCTAATGCTATGCTATGCTAGGTACACGTAGCCGTTACCTTCCCGGTCAATGTAGTCCTTTTCTATTAGGCTGTAGGAATTCGTTAGCAAATATTTCAGTCACATGGTGCAAAATCCAAAAACGTGCAAAAGTAGAGACATTGCGACGTACCTCTCAATCTCCCTCTTGATGGCGGACGGCTCCACGCTGCCCCTGCTCTTGGTCAAGTTGATCACCTCGGCCTGCAGCTCGGCGTGGCCCATCTGCTTCCTGCTCTTCATGATGCGCACAATGGCCGCCTGGGTCTCGAAGCGGCGGTCCTGGGCGACCCGCTCGTGCGTGGCCTTGTTCTCCTCCTTTGTCTCCTTGAGCTGGATCTGGTTGATCTTGACCTTGACGTTGGGGTGCGCAAAGGCCCGGTTGAAGGTGAAGGTGTCGGCCGGCTTGACCTCGCGGCTCATCGGGTGCTTCTTCAGCACGCGCGCCTTGCCGCACGCCAGGGACTGCAGGGTGCGGTCCAGGTCGCCCCCCTTGAGGCCGGTGGCCCTGGATATCTGCTCGTACCCGAGGAACCCGTCCGGCGCGTCCACCGAGTTGAACAGGAGGAGGACGACGGCCTGGTAGGCCGAGACGAGGAGCTCCTTCTGGCCCTTGGGGAACTTGGCCTTGAGGGAGCAGTGTGCCAGCGAGTGCTTCCACGTGAGGGTTCGACCGGTGTGCATGCTCTTGTAGAATGTGTCGAACCTCTCCGATTGCCGGGCCACCTCGTCTGGCAGGTGCAGATTCACGTCTGGGTAGGTTGGCCAAGCAGCAGCCGAGAGGACCATGACGTGTAGATCGACGGGCGACCTCCGGCTGGCGTTGGCCGCACACCATTGGTTATACGCGCTCATCTCATCCCTGGCAATCTCTTGATCCTTGAACATCTGCTCGAGCTTGTGTGTGATTTCGGACCCTACCTCGGAGCGCAGCTTCGCCAGCATGTTCCGCTCGGCGTCCTGGCTAGCGCTACGACCCATCAGTAACCGCCGAGCGAGATCCTTCTTGTAGAAAGCTTCGAATGTATCCTTCCCTTCAATGAAGCGAACCAGCTCCAGCGACTGATTGAGCTGCCGGTCGAGCTCAGCATCCTCATCGGCAGTGCTTGATATACCTTCCTTCTGTGCCGCTGCGCGATCCTTGGCATCCGAGAATAGTGCCGGAGGCAGGCTTTTGAGGCCGCCGCGTAGCAGAAGGTCGATATGCTTGGCAATCATCTCCCCAATCTTGGACGTTCCCGAGCCCCAGCAGGCAGAGACCTTGGAGTCGTTCATCGTCTTGCCAAAGGCGTCCCGCATCGCCCAGAGGAACTCATCATCCTTCCCGAAGGCGTCCCGGATCATAACGTCCAGCGACCGTCTGAGGATCAACAACCGAAGGACCATCTCGTCGCCGCGATCCTTGTCTGCCACAATTTCTGCCACCGTAGCCTTGATGTACTCGACCCAGGGATCCTTGAGCTTCTTTTGGATCCGCGAATGCCGCAACAGTCCATACAGTACTTTGACGGACTCAACATCTTCGCTGGAGAGCAGCTTGGCGAAGCTTTCCCCATTGAGCAGCTTATCAGTGTAGTTATCGATGAGTGTCACATGAGCAGCATCCATAAGCTGCTTCTCTGTGACAGTCTCGATATGGAACTCTAGACAACGGTGGTGCTCCTTGAGCAGCAGCTTCTCGCACGCCTGAATGTACGACTTGAGATTCGACAAGGCGTGGGACTCGCCAAACTCGTTGAAGTAAAGCTGTGACTTTGCCGTGAAAACAGGCTCAAACGATCTTGAGTAAACGCCCAGGACGTAAAGCATACGGATCGATCCCTTGAGAAGCTCTGCATCTCGGAGCCCATCCCCCCTCCGGTCGTGCTCGATCAGCTCACACATGCCCAGAACAAGTTTCTTTCCTGGGGCCGTCTCGTAGATTTCCGAGTTGGAGGGGAAAGCCATCTTGCGGAAGAAGGTAATGGCCATGTCATTGATAGCTGTCTTTTTCTCGCGCAGGAGGTATGTCCGGTCAAGAAAACTGAATATAGAGCGGATGAGTTTCTGCAGACCAGATACAAGTTAGTCACTGCGGTCCCCTGGTTCCCAAATCCGTTTGAAATAGCATCTAGAATATTCCCGTCAACTTACAATCTGAGCGTTGAAAAGGTGCCATTCGTCCAACAGCTGCTTCGCCATGCTCAGGTTCGACCCCTCGCCGCTCCGCTGCACCCTGGGGAGGATGACGCGGGACACGTGCGAGTCCACGCGGTCCCTCAGCACCAGATGGATCTTTCCCGCGTTCCCGTTCCTGCAGTGGTCCTCGACGCCCCGGTAGAGCCGCTCGAGGGGCACGGGGGGCTTCCCGCCCGCCAGCACCACGGTCAGCATGTCGTCCAGTATTTTCTCCGTCTCGGCGTAGTACTCGCGGACCTGCGCCTCGCGGGCGGCGCCGGGCTGCCGCAGGTTCTTGATGACGATCCTCTTGGCCCCGTTGTGCGGCTGGAAGGCCGAGGACCGCGTGAGGTCGATGGTGTCGTGGGCCTTGCCTCTGGCCTTGGCGCTCATGGCCTGCATCGCTTCGGCAGAGGCGGCGGCGAACCTGGGCCGCTTGAGAGGCTGGAACGGCGGGGACGAGGCGGAGAAGGAGGAGCCGGATGAGGAGTCGAGACGGGGGCGGCGGCGGGAGGAAGGGGAGGAGTCGGCCTGCATCGATTGCATGGAAGCCGTCGACTGAGCTTGGGCAATCTTGATACGAGGCGAGGAGAGGAGGGGCGCTGGAGTGGTGGTTGAGCAGCACAACGGGCACAGCCTAGGTCGATGTAACGGACCACTGCTTCTCCGGCCGGCACGTTCGGCGTGGCACCATGGGGCACCTCGAGGGCTTTCGAGGCTCGGAAACTGAGATGGTAGTCGGGTTGGGTTGAGGACCGGGACAAGGATCAGGGCGATGATCTGCTGTACTGCGGATAGGCCCTGTTACACGCCCCAGACACTGCTTGATGCTCTCTGGGCAGCGGGCGGGATGCGGTGGGAAAAGAGCAGCGAAGCGACGAACAAGACAGAGCCAAAAGGCGGCACACAACAAGTACAGCAGATACAACAGACCCAGGATGGATGATGCAGTGTCCAATACAAAGACAAAAACAGTTGATGTCACTCGAGAGCCTCGGGCGGACTTTGGCAGCTCCTCATGCCTTGATGCAATGCTATCTCCGGTGCGATAAGATAAGACCTCCCGCTTTACCTTCAACTGCAGTAAGCGCCCAAGTGGGTGACACTGAAATCGAGGCACTGAAACATTAACCTGCTTATTTTCGAGTCTATGGCCACTATTATCAGATTGTTGAGTGTTAATAATACGTAATTCAGAGATAATACATCATATGTTGTCACTTTATATCAGTTTATACTGCTGAAATTCTCCATTTATTGTAGAACGTAATCTGTTTGTAACCAACTCTTCATTGGGTGTCTTATTTCTACTGCCACCCACTTAGCGCCCAACGCAATGACGAGCTTCTTCTCCCCGGGAATCATCCATTACCGCGTCTTACCCCATCCTCGGAACAGAATGATGAATAATACTAATGTAGGCATCTACTACCTACGTAAGTACATATACTTTGTTTGGTATTGGCTCTTTGTCAACCCTCCAGCATAGGTCTGCACATCACACCCTTCCGGGTAGGTCTGCCCCAACCTGATGGTCAAGACCTAGCCAAGGCCGGCCGCTATTCTATAAGATTTTCCCCCGTATTACAGCAGAGTGGAAAGAGATATATCTACCTTATATAAATACAATCGCTAGACTCGCGACTAATTCGTCGCATCAAAAACACAAAACCAACTGATAAAACAACAAAACAACGGCATTGAAGCTTTCCAACACCATATACATTTTTATTTCCAAGACCTCCTTATCCTTTCAAGTCTCATGCGTATGCAGCCCAACCTATGATCCATTAGTCAGTTATCACGAGTTTGGTCACAGTTAGCAGAAACAAACGTACCGGAATACAGCACCGCCAAATTGCACTCATCAACGGCTTGATTGATCAAGTCGTTGACCGTCGCGGTCACACTCAATGTTTTGGAAAGCTTCTTCCTCACCACTTCAAGCGCCCGATCTGCCTCGGAAGGCTCGTTGAGCTCACTCCCTGCTTTCTTGCCCTTTTTTGCTTCTGCCTCGCTTTGTTCTGACTCATCGACGGCGCCATCATCATCATGTCTAGCCTTTTGCAACTTGGCAAGACGCAATGGAGAAATGGACCAGGTGTAGAGAGGATCGTACCGCAAAACGTCGAGGATCGTCATGATAGAGTATTGTTCTTCTCGTAGGGCATCAAGCGTGAACTCGCAGCAACGGCGGAACACACCTTCGGTTTTGGTGATGCCCATTCCATCCACAATGTCTCGTGTAAGCCGGAACGGAACCAGCTCAGGCACGGGCAGAATACGTCCAGCCTCAAAGGCAACACCGAGGTCGATATGCACCACCTCTCCCGTCTTCGTGTCGAGTAGAATATTATGGCCGTGGCGGTCGCCCAGTCCAAGCACGTGTCCCAGCATTGAAATCGCCGCCGTGCTTCGCGTGTAGGCCAGCCTTTTGACAAACCACTCGTCCGGATCGCCAAAGTACTCAATGAAGAAGTATTTCATCACAGGGTGGAACTTATCAATGACCTTTCGGTACGTGCTGATGCGTATTTCAACAGTTCTATTCTGGACATTGAAGATTTCCTTACGGCATTGAGACCCTTTCAGATCCTTGGGGAAGTACCTCTCGTGAGCTGGCATGAGGAACTCATGCAGAGGAATCGTGTTTGGCACGAATTCAATAAGTCCTGACGAAGCAGTGAGTGGTAGGACCTTGTAGGTTCTGATGCCTAGACTCCGCTGCTGTGTTGCTCTGTGCAGTTTGAGAAGAGAAGACACAGCAGCAAACACTTGCTCCATGATGGCGTCTTGGCGAAGGTCATCATGACCACCCTTCACTAGCTGCTTGTACTTGACCCCGTTGGTACCAACAGCAGTGATGATTTTGGGCGCACTCACACCAGAAGCAATGGACATGCTGGACTCAAGTTTGAGAATCGTTGGCACTTTCGAGTAATCCTTGGTCGCCGATAGTTCGATATGCATTGTGGGAGGTGGAATGCGATACTTGTTGAGATAGTTGACGAGGTTCGTTGCAGCAGTTGATTCCTTCAAGTTGATCTTGACCCCGGACTTGTATTTGTTCGCGTTCTTCTCCATCGCCAACAGGTGGTAGTACTTGCTTGTCTTATCGATAGCCAGCCAAATGTCGGAGACGGATCTTGTAGAGGCGAGCCTTTGAGCCACCTTTTCTGTCGCTCGGACTCTTTGAATGGCTACCTCATCCTTCTGTTGTGCCTTTGCTTTCGTTCCAGACCAGATCTGATACATCCCATGATAGGGATGCTCGACGCAAATGTTGTAGACAAGATCAAGGAGTAGTTTGTGGAACATGCTATCCTGGTTTTGTAACCTCGACGTGAGCTGGTTCATCAGCGTAGCAAACTTCCTTGTTGGCACCTGCTGCAGATAGCGCATCACGGCTTTATTGGTGACAGCCTCCGATGATCTTTCTAACCAGAGTGCGATGAATCGGAGAGCATCGTTGTTATACTCGTCAGAGGCAATCAGCGACAAAAGGTAGTTCTCCAAGCTCAGCCGTACGAATTCGCTTCGGGTTTGTTCCACTCGCCGCAGTTCCTGCTCATCAAGACTCAACCATTGCTTCTCCTTGGATAACACATGCGAGTACCGACTTCGGAGCTGGCTGTCCTTGGTAGAATTTATCAGGCTCTGAAGTTGCGCAACCTCGTCGCTCTTCCCTCTTCGCAGATTTTGGAGCCGTGAAAGATCCTCCAAACTGGCTACATCTTGAAGCTGCCCATCACAGAACGTTGCGAATTGGTGGTAGACGGATCCTGCTTCCTTCCCATTGACATTTCCTTTGAGCTCCTTAAGTGCAGGCTCCAGGTATTTTTTCTGGATATCTTGTGGTTTTTCCAGCCGAGCAACGGAAACCTGGTTGCCGATCTTGGATAGAAGATCAGTTCTGCTGACAGGTATCATCTGCTTCTTCAGTGTGGAATCTTTCTCAATCCCCTGCAAGAGGCGGATGGAGGTACTCATTTCCCCGTGATCCCAGAGCGAGTTCGCCGCTTCAACCTTGACCGCCGCATCAAAATGTAGTCCCTGAGCTTCACAAGATGGGAGCAAGTTCATCAATGATGTAGAAATATTGATAGTTTCTTGAGTGGCCTGGTAGTATCGGAAAACACTGGCAGACGTGAGCATCGACTGCACCTGAGCCTGGCGGAGGTGGCCCACGGAGATGCTGCTTTTCAACAGATGATCATGTTGGCTCAGCATGCTCATGGTTGTTCCTCTACATGAGAGAATATTGCTGACATCCTCATATCTGATCGCCTAGTTAGTTCCACCTGTATCATCATTCCTGGGGATGAGAAACCTACAATCCACGTTTCATCCATTCAACACGAGCCTGAAACCTGGCGAGAACATTCTCGACATCACCGGGATCTGAGAGATTGGTCGCCTCATCGAGCTCGTATAAAACGGCTGCCGCTCCCAGGTGCTTCCTTAAGCCTCTTGCATTTTGATTTTGCTTTGTCAAGCTCAATATCGAGCGCTGGAACCCATCATAGATGGCAGAGCGCACCAAACCAACGTCGGTTGCTTGGTGCATGCTCTGAAACGCTTTATACACAACCACCGCGTGATGATCACTTGCCACAGGCGCCGGAAGGTTCCACATTTCCAACTTTTGGGCTGTTCTAAATGTACTCTCCAGAGATGAGGATGACGAACCTGCGTTTTGCTGAGTCTGTAGAAGAGAATATGACAAGCCACTTAGTCCCAAGCCATTGAGAGTCTTTACCAGGGCCTGCGCATCAGATTCAGTCTCAGGATCGCGTTGGCGCAGATGACTATCATATTGTGCTCCCCTGAAAGCGAGACTCTTTGAGCCTTCATTCTCATATTCAACTCGAGCTAAGACCTTGAATAGACTGGCCTCCTCTGGAAGACCATAGTACGCATCGGGGTCATCAATGTTCTCAAAGATGTCGAGCAGAGTCTCGCTCAGATCGCTTTGTTGAAGGGCCGAAGATCGACGAGAAGAGCGAGTTGTCTCTGAGCTAACCAACTCTGCCAGGAACAGCGCTGTCTTGTACATTCCACAATGAGCAGCAGCATTTGAAGCCGAGGCATAGTCTATTTCAAGCCACTGAATGCGATCAGCAATACAAGACTCGCCAGGATACTCCTGTGTCCTGAGGTATAGAAAGGTGTTGAGTAGCAATTTGATGTTGGTTTTGGCGGTAGGCTCTCTGGAAGCCAGCCAAATTTTTGCAGCCTCGGATAGGGAACGCTTCACTGTCTGTTGCTTTTTTACCTGAAGGTGCAGCACGAGATGAAGGAGAAATGGGAAACACTTCTCTGCGAAGCCCTTGACTTCTGTCAAGAGAGGAGGGAGAACCGAGAGAAGAGTCGAGGTCGATATGGAGTGGGCGAGGTGGACACCAAGTTTGGGGAGCCATTCCGAAGTCGAGATGTCTAGCTTCCAGACTGAACTGTCATCCCTAACAGACGGAGGATCTGGCTTTTCAGATGGAGGCGAGGTATAGGTCCCCCATTGGGATGCTAAAAATAGAGAT